ATCCAAAATTCACATTTCGAGAACTTCGCATAGAGTTTCTCTGATCGCAACGTTTCTAAGACCTGTTGCAGACGTTGACTATGCTCCTCCTTACTATGATAGTAGATAAGTATGTCATCGATGAAGACAATGACGAACTGATCCAAGTAAGGACGACACACCCGATTCATTAAGTCCATGAATAATGCGGGCGCATTGGTCAATCCGAACGGCATCACTACAAACTCGTAGTGTCCATAACGAGTTCGGAAGGCTGTCTTCGGAACATCGTCCCCAAGCACTCGTAACTGGTGATACCCAGACCTCAAGTCTATCTTTGAAAAGAAGTTCGCCCCTTGAAGTTGGTCAAACAAATCGTCAATGTGAGGCAGAGGGTAACGATTTTTGACGGTTAGTTTGTTAAGTTCTCTATAGTCGATGCACATACGGAACGATCAGTCTTTCTTCTTGATGAACAAGACCGGTGCTCCCCAGGGTGAGAAGCTTGGTCTAATGAAAGCCCTTGCTGAGCAGTTCGTTAAGTTGACTAGATAGTTCCTGCATCTCGGCTGGTGCTAGACGATAAGGCGATTTGGCTACGGGGGTAGCCCCTGGAACTAAGTCGATTCTAAACTCGACTTGACGTTGCGGAGGTAATCCTGGGAGTTCTTCTGGAAAGATGTCAGGAAAGTCGCATACTACTGGAATGTTCTTTATGTCTTTCGTCTCTTGGCTCACATCGACAACATGAGCAAGGAATGCGCGACATTCCTTTTGCAAGAATTTCTGGGCTTGAATGCTCGAGATGATACGAAGGTTTGTGCCGGGTTTGTCGCCGTAGATAACTAGAGTTTTGTTGATAGCATTCGCCACTATAAGAGATAGTGACTTGACATGGCTATTCCACCACGTCAGTGCTCAGTCCGCGAAGGTGCAAGCGGAAAATTTTACCTTGCTCCCTTCCGGACAGGAGCAGATCTTAAAGATCGACTCTGTCTTCTCGAACCATTGTGAGAGGGCAATGATTCCACCCGTTCCATTGAAGGCCCTGGGTTTGCAGCTGGTGAAGTCCTTATACGAGCACTCCCTAGAGCGCACTGGAGCTTCGACAATAGTGGGAGGCACATTAGTCCCACTCCCACTAGTACCGGTCGAGGTGAATTGTGCTAGAGCTGCCGTAACAGCCGCATTCACAGCGGCTTGGATAGTTGCTGGGTTGTATTGAGGAGGAGGAGGAGGTGGTGTTTGATTCAGAGCAGTGCGCCTCACTGATCGACGTGGAGGCATCTTGTAGCTATAAGATCACAAAGATGAAGATATTGGTAAGAATTTAATAGAGAGAATGATGAGAGTGACTCATGGACTAACTCTCCATAGCCCAACAACACAGATGGAAGTATGATTGGATCGAAATCTAGTACTAGAAAAATGAAAGCATTTGGATATTAATTTCCGTGAGATTAGATATCTGTCAATAATACTGGTATTACAGATGTAACAAGTTCGGGAAAAATGACCTAAAAGTAGGTCTTACATCAAACGAATATGAGAAAATTTGGCAGAATATAGACCTATCGACCGAAAGTTCAAGGTCTTAAAATAAACAGGAAATTACAGGGAAGAAGTACTAATTAGAGCATAGATAAGAAGGCTAATCCTTAGACAAAAGGAAATTTGAGCAGAGCATTCCCTACTGGCGACGGGAACCCCTTGGGCGAACCCTTAAGTCAGCCAGCTGTCGCTCCATGTCAAGAAGGCGCCGTTCGTACACTCGCTGGCGCACACGATGCTCTATGACTTCAGCCCTAGTCTCAGCTAGTGCTTGAAGTAGAGACTCATTGTCTCTTACTGCTCTCTCACTAGCATCTTCTAGATGACGAATGCGGACAGTGTTGACTCCTGAATTGGCGTCAACTTCCGCAATTCGGTTGAGGGCTGTCCTACCCTGAATCTCGTTACGAGCAACCCTACGGACCAGAAAAGGCAGGACTCTGTCCGCTGAGCCTCCTTCGCTCACTTTATAGAAGCTTCGGTCTCCATTGAATGGGATTGGTTGACCCTGCTCTTGGCTCCATGTCTCCAAACTTTCCACCCACAGAGGCGTCGGGCCTTGAAAAGTCGGACGAGGGTTTGGATTTGGGTTTTGATCCACCAGTGGTAGGTCATTGACTTCTGGCTCGGAGTCAGAATCCTCCGGGAAGTTCTCAACAAAGTCATCGTCCAACGGAATTGCAGGTTCTTCTTCTGGCTCAACATCGAGCCATCCTCTGTTATTTTGGTTGGGAAAGTACAAATCTCCGGGGATATGGAATCCAACCATGTTATCTACGCGGGAATAGGGGTAAAAGAAATAATTAATAGACGTACTAATTAACATAATTATAAGATGATCCTTACCAGTTACTCCAACATTTGCGTAGTGTATACCAGTCATATGTAACCAAAACAGGATAGACCTTCGAATAAGTGACCCTAACTCTAAGCCCACAACCAAACAAGGAACAGGAAGTAAAGCAAAGATCACCAATTCTAAGTCTATAACACCCTAGTTTTTCGTGCTGACGTCACTTCGTCTTCTCCAGTGACTTGGTTTTTCGGCGACGTTCGACCAACTTTGACCGATGATGTAAGGGTCTTCCCGTTGTCGAAAAATTACGAAAAGTATATTTTCAGATTCCTTGAAATGAGGCATTTCCAATGGTGCGCCCAGTTTCTTGAGACAAAAAATTCGACCCAAAAATAGAAAAATTCTTGAAAAATTCTCTGGACACCAAACGAGGCTCTGATACCAGTTGTTGGGATTAGAAAATTCTTTTATTCAATAAGAAAATAGAATTACAATAAGAGGAGCAACTATCACACTCAACTATTACAAAAAACCAACCTACTCTCTAACACTATACTTAAACTCTGAGTTTCGGATGTCTCACAACTAAAGATGAAGCTTCTATTTATAACCATGGTAGCCACCATTTGTGCAACTTCATTAATTGTGTTCATCATATGGTATTAATTGTGTTCATCATAGGGTAGGAAGAAAACTTTCCACTTTAGGAAGAAAATGTTTCCATAAAAATGATGGACTTCTAGATGGAGGTTCGAAGTCAACAAAAGTCCCTCAAAAAATTGTGATTAAACCCTTACATGTTCTATATCTTATTGAATATGTGTTCTTGTTACCAACCCAACTGGTTGTCTCGATAAAACAACATATTTTTAGTAAAAATAATAGTATAATAATTTAACCAGTAAGGAAATAACTATGAGAGGTTTAAATTTTAATCCATAGAATAGTAAAAATGTGATCTTTGTATTTGTTTGCTCTTAAAACAAGAGAAAAGGACAAATTTAGCTTACTTCTTAATGATTTTTTAAGATTTAACGATTTTATCCTAAAAATAGCCAAATAAATCGTTGATGGTTGGTACCGTGCTGCAATTTTCCCTAATAATGGATAGAGTCGTCGATAGATGGAATCGAGCTGACATCGGTATCAATGCCTACACACCATTATGAGCACCAACGGTACCGCCAGATGTGTAGAATGATGAGTTGGTATGTCGCTCCCTTCTTCTCTCTTTTCTTCTTCTTCTTCTTCTTCTTCTTCTTCTTTCTCTCTCTCTCTCTCTCTCTCTCTCTCTCTCTCTCTCTCTCTCTCTCCTTTAGGGAGAAAACCACAACAAAAGATTTTCCAAAAAGGCTACATATACAAGTTTGAGACTTTTTCAAACTCCACCAAAAAAATTGCAAATCACATGAACCATTTTTTACGATTTACTCTTTTACATATCATCCATAGAATAGACTTGTTTAGACCAACTATGTTGATTTAACGGCTTTTGTGGCCCGGTCTTCAAGTACTTCTCAAGACAATAATCCCTAATTAAGACCGGTCTTTGAATAAGAAAATCAAAAAAATATAAGTGCATACCACTTATGCAACAAAAAAGATGGATAAGTTTTTATGTATACGTACATTTCATGGTAAAAAAAACTTCATTTTTTATTGTAAATGTATATTTTTTATGTATAAGAACCAAAGTAATCATCAACATTTCTTTCTTTATTGTAAATGTATATATATATATATATATATATATATATATATATATATATATATATATATATATATATATATTATCTATATATATCAGGTTCAGGTTCATATGAGACCATACTAATTTTGTGAGACCGTGAGATACAATCTAAAAATAATTTTAAAATGCAAAATAAAAGGAAAATTCGAAAATTCTTTTTTTAATTATTATTTTCATCACTTTTTTTACCTAAAAAAATAAAAAAATAAAACAAATAAAAACAACTTACCGTTTTTTTTTAAAATACGTGAAATATTCTAATAGAATATATTACACTGTAAATATTTTAATGTGATTTTTAAAATGTTAGAATATTCTACTAGATTTGTCAGATATATAAAATATTCTAATATTCTACTAGAATATATAAAAAATCAGTATTTTTTTTTATTGTTTTTGGTATTTTTTTATTTTTTTTGGAAAATATAAATGACGAAAATAATATTTGAAATTTTTTTTTCGAAAATTTTCAATTATTTTGCATTTTAAAAATGATTTTTTATCTACAAAATTGAGTGGCTGAGATTGCGTCTCACGGTCTTACAAAATTAAACCGTCTCACATAAACCTAACCCTATATATATATATATATATATTATATATATATATATATATATATATATATATATATATATATATATAATATATATATATATATATATATATATATACTATATATATATGCAATGGCATAGCAGTGATTTTATTTTAACGTAGGTCAAATAATTTACAAAATGTGAACGAGTGATAAAATTCTTCAAACGATACCAAAATGTAAGTATATATATTATAAACTAAATTGTTTATTTAAGTTGCACACGATCTTGTCTTACATCATTCAAATAATTTAAAAAGAAGTCTAATCGATATATGCAACAATGTATAATCTTCTACTAAATTTAAAGTTTTGAATGAGATATGTCATATCACAACCCTAATTTCTTTTATGATTTCTTTTATTTAACAAAAAATATATATTGTACATATGTAATCTCAAATTTATGTAGGTGGATAAGGCCCACTCTTGCACCTATATGACTACGCCCGTGTATATATATGTATATTCCATGTTAAAAGCCCATTATTCAAACGTTCGAAATCCATCACAGTCTCGATCTTTGAGTGCATTTTATAGGATTGAAGTGTGAATGTTTACTGCTTGAAGAGAAAGATGATGACAACCTTAAATCCCAATCTTCCACATTTTTTGGAACACATTCATCGAACATGATTTTACTAGAAATCCCATGAGCATTAATTGTCGATAGGTCTGACCGTGGAATAAGCCTTTCTTTAGGCGCATCATTAACGGAACTCAAGTCTCCTACCTTCATGGTACTCAGCCAAGCCAGCTGGCACAACAAATTGGTCATTCAAATCAAGTGCGACTCTATGAAGGCTATGATATTGGTTCGAGCTCGAAACCGCTTCCCTTAAATGGTGTTGCGGTTCTGAGGATGTCGAACCGTTGGGGGGCCCGCCACCCTGTTCATTTTTTTGTGAGTAAATAGACACAGCTTTTGCTAGGAGCTCGGTCACAGCATCCTTGTACTCTTCTGGATGATGCTTATAATGACCTACACGGACATTATACATATATGAGCGACGTAGGGTTGAATCTCAGTGGATCGTGGCAACTTGGTAACCATGAAAATACAACCAAACAAATAGTTATATATGTTGAGGAAACTGCAAGTATTACCTACATGAGCGGAGCTACTCCATTTTAGGAATTGGACATCGCCACCAAGGTTTTGTAATCGTTGAGCAAAGTTGGCGATGGTTTGGTAAGGGGCAATATCGTCGTTTTCTGAGCAAAGTATTAGATATGGTGCTCCAAATCCCTACATTTTATTTGGAAAATAAGAAATGGAAAAGGGGTTGAGTGGTAAGATATGGGAACTACTATAGTTGAATACAAAGTCTGCCAATAATCTGCGCGTAGGGAGTTCCATCTCTTAGGGAACAAGGTATCGAGACTAGATGAGAAACCATTTGCAATCCATTTTACTATTATAGGAGGATGCGAGACTTTAAGAATGCTTGGGTGAAGAACAAATCTAGTGGCTAAATCGCTTACGAAATCGATTGGACAAGAGTCGTATATATGTCCGGAAATGCAATTTCTAACGACTTCATACTCATCCTTCACCATTCAACAACATCAAACAGGTTTTCAGATTACCAACGGATGACAGATCACAGAAAAGTACTTATACTGTCACCATTATATTAGTTAGCCCATTATATATATATATATATATATATATATATATATATATATATATATATATATATATATATATAAAACACATTTTCCCAAGTTACCAGGGCAAGGAGAAATTAAAGAAAAGCACGTATTTTTTCACCATTTTATTGATTTAGTCGACCATCTTTTTTTATTAACTTAACCATAGAACTATTATTATGGTAATAATAAAAGAATAACAGTTTGGTGGCTAAATCGGGAAGATGATGAGAGTATGTTGTACTTTTCTATCTTTTGTTTTTTTTTCTTTTCAAAACAGGGTAACCTGGAAGATGGTGAAAATAAAAAAGTGTTTTTTTGTATCTTGCCCTTCAAAAACTCATGGCTAATCAATCATAATAAAAACATGATACAAAGGAAAGATGAAGAAGAAGAATAAAGGTCATACCAGATTTCCATGAGTATCACGCTTTGAGTCGATTATCTGTACCAAGAAGACGCCAAGTAAATCACCAAACCACTATGAAGCCTCCCTTTGTGACAGGGTTAAATACCATAAAGACAAATGTTATACAATTCACTCTCAATTAAATGGTGTATAATAACCTCCATTCTCAAATCCATGATTTGTAAAAACGGCCAATCTGGTTAACCATCATCATTGTTTCTCCCTTATTTCTTTTTAATTAACTGTTGTGTGGATTAAGTGTTGTCGGGATAAATAATGTTTAACAAAAGTAATTGAGAAAATGTCAAACGTGGGAGAAAATGGAATAAAAATAAATAAATGATGGAAAATTTGTAAACCATTAGGACTTAATAGAAAACCACATTTCCATGACTTTTTCTATGAAATAAAAACCTGATTAAGTCATGTCCCTATTAAATCATTAAATAAACATATGCACCTTACCATAGTAACTAAGTCTTTGTAAAAAAATTATGCTATACAAGGATATGCAACTTATATTTACCTGCAAGGCTTTGTACATGCAAGTTAGGGGGCCACCAGAGAAAGACGCAAACACAAGCGGGCATGGCTTTCTTTTTAGCTCCTTCATATACAAAACAACAAAATTTAATTATATATATATATATATATATATATATATATATATATAATACACACAAAAAAATAAAATAATAATAACTAATCAAGAAAAGGAAATACAAGCAGTGAACTCAAGCGGAATTTTCTGATTATTGTGATGTTGTCTACAAACTCAAGGATACAATTGCCATAGAACATAGGCACAATAAGTGGTCAGAAGTTATGAAATTTACCTTAATAAGCTCATTTAGAAGGTTCAGTGCCAAAGCAGTAGCCTTATCAGGGAAGAACCTGTCAATCAATTGCAACAATTTTCAGCAACTTGTAAGTTGTAACTTTTGGACTAAACCTCAAGGACAATTCAGATTCATCATGCCAATCAAACCCAAAAGAATCACGCAAAAACCAAAAGTCAAACCTCTAGATGCCCCAAATTGAAAAAAACCGGAAGCAATTCATTTCAAGAAAAAGTAGCACACTTATATAAGAAATTTGCAATTTGTAATAATTGTATGGATATCAATTTCTAATCATATTTTCTACAGATAAGTCTTCCAATTTACGTCAACAAATGGAAATCAAATCGGTTGATTTCAGAAGTCAAAGTGTAAATTATGTAACAATTCAGTAATAAGAGCATCTCCAATGGTGAAATTATGACATGACTTAAGATTATTATCATATAATCTTTCTGTTAATTTTGACCAATATTAAATATGTATTCCCTAATGGATAACATGTTCGAATTATAGTTTTTAACAAATTTAAGTAATTTATCACCAACTATATTAAAATTAAAATGTTATATAAACCACTTGTCTAATTTGTTGTTTTAAACCTGACTTAAAATATATTATATAATCATTATAAATTTAATATTTCATAATTGAAAAAATATCAAATACTTAATATATAAATTATTTTATAAGGAAAAAACTAATGTTAAAATTTTAAATTATTGAATGAGAAAAGGATTATATGTACGAAGCCTAAAAATAAATTGACCCTCATTAAGCCGTTAATGAATAAAAAAACAAACTATTCCGGTGTTAATGGTGCTAACTGCTGAGTAATGATTCAAATTCAAATAGTAATGAGTCATAATAAAACTCAGCTGAGATGCACTAATCTAAAACCGGAAATTGGTAATAACACCAGAAGATGATGATATGAAGGATAGAATAGAGTTAAATTATAACAGAAAGTAGGTAGGTAATCAGGGTTGAAGAAGAATACATACATATTAAGAAATTGCGAATGGCAGACAAGGGAGTCCCAACCAAGAGAGGAGTAAAGGTCAACATGTTTCTTCAAATTCTTCTCTTCACTTGACATCCATGCGAATACAACAACTATTCCTCTTCTTCTTCTTCTTCTTCTTTCTTCTTCTTTTCGCTTCCCCCAGTAGAATCTTCCCCCAAATCCCCACATCCTCCCTCGCTCGTTTTTACTATTGATCTTGATCCCTCTTCAGAGAATAAGCTTACAGATAAGACTGTTGATGCTGATTCGTTATGATGAGTTATATATACAAAGAAAAGGTTTATGCTATGTTCATGAATACAAATTAAAGAGAGAAGAGAAAGGAATTGGAAAGAAAGTCAAAAAATGGTGTTCCTTAAAAAAGAAGTTAGAAAATAATCAGACTTCCAAACTTTCCTCTTTACTTTTCAAATTACTTATTGACCCTTCAAACAGTATTAGTATAAAAGTAAACGTCAACGCCACTATCTCAATTCTCGATAATTCAACGCCTCTTATCTCATTTCTCACCCAAGACAAAAACTATTTATATAAATGGTCCTATGGTTTGGTAAAATATTTACATAAAATCAAACTTCAAGAAAATAAACGATCCCAGTCCTTGTTTTTTGTCATTATTACATAAATGATCATTCTGACGCACCGTCAAAATTCCGTTAAAAAACCCTCACGTGCACACAACGTGAGGGTAAAACCGCCATCGATGAAGATGTGTCATGTATCACTATAACTTATTTAAAATCTCTCTCTCTCTCTCTATATATATATATATATATATATATATATATATATATATATATATATATCTATATATTATATATATATATATAAATGAAAACATTTTTTAGATTAAGAACATTTGAGAATATTTTTTTTCCTATCACATTAAAAACACATGTGTTTTTGTTTGTGAATATTTTCAGGGGTATTTTCGTAACTTTGTCTGTTATAAATGATTATTTTGTCTGATTCCTTTACATGTTTGACACAAGCTTGGGAGTTACACTTGTGTTTTTGTTTGTGAATATTTTCAGGGGTATTTTCGTAACTTTGTCTGTTATAAATGATTATTTTGTCTGATTCCTTTACATGTTTGACACAAGCTTGGGAGTTACACTTGAATTCAGAGTGATTCGATTCGATTTTTTGGCATTTCATCCTAGATCTTAGTGATTTCTAGGATTTTTCTTCCAAAGTTATATGCTTGTTGTTCGTTGATTCTTATAGAAGAAGAAATTACATCATCGTCTAAGAATTTTAGGTTTAACTATTCGTTCTATCAAA